GATTAAATCAAATTATGTAGTAACTATAAGTGTCGTTATTAATATTTAACAACTTGTAATTAATAAGACATTATTATTATATTATGACATGTATCTTATACATTTAATTGCAATTAAAAAAATTATATAAATTGTCTTATATTTTGTATTTTATTCAGATTAATTTATGTGATACTGTACAGATTCAATACAACGTGTTTCACATTGCGTAATATATGTCTCGCTCGCAATAAAAAAATTACAGAATTACCTGGATACAACCAATCGCCCTCAGGAAACTTCGCGCGTATTTCGATCTTTCCATATTGCAAAACGAAACGTTCTTTCGTGGTAAAACGTGCGGATATAACGGGTGGCAAAATGCTATAGGATAACGCCTGTCGCGTACATTCGAAAGCAACCAAGCTTGTACATCTACGAAAAGATAGATTATAAAACAAAAAAAATGCAATAGAAATTTAATTTACTTATATTTACTCATTAAGTTGTAATCTTCCGTATGCGGTCGCATTCTCGCCATAATAGTCTTCCAGTATAATTGGTCTTATGAATAATTGACCATCATGAACTTGCACAAGTTGCTTATGATTTTGATTGTGATATACGCAAAATTCGTTGTCCTAATTTTAACATATTTAATTTTATTGAGTTGAAATATACATATATGTCTATATACAGTTATATACACATTGTATGAATATATATATACCCATTACCCACCGGATCTAATGGCATCTTTATCTCGCGTTTCCATAATGATTCGTTGAAAAAATTAAAATAGTCTTCAAGTAGTAATCGGCCCTCGGTTGGAATTTCGTATTTTGAAGAATTCGTCTGTGTAGTTTCTTGACTATCAACTTCATTTTCTATCATTATTAATTTGAAATATTATATACATAATAATATTTTTTACTATTTTTATATCAGAGAAATCGTGTGTTTATATAAATAATCTTACGGGAATACGTCCATCTTTGGTTATTCTTCTTGTGATTAATTCCATTCGCTTGCACATAAATCCAATAATGAAGTACATCTCCATTTTTTATAGTCACATCCGAATCCTCAAAAGTCCAGCGGTCATCTGTTGCCAAATAGGTATCACCAGCGATTTGACCGTATTCATTAGTGCGAATTGCTTTATTGATGTTGGCGTGGAATCCAAATATTCTTAAACCCGGTGCATCTGTTAAACGTATCATCGTTAAATATAAACTAATTTTTCTTTTTTATTCAAATATTATTATTTATTTAGATATACAATTTTTATCTAACATCTTTTTATTTTTTAAGTGATCCTATTTTTTAAAATATTTTTAGAATAAAATATACATATCATTTTTATAATAATTAGTTGTAGTATTATTATATTTATCGTATTAATTTATGTTATTTGTTTTCTTAGAAATGTAATGTCAAAACTTGAAATATTATAAGATAGAGGACATGTTGAAAGAGTTAAACATCTTGTCATTTACATTTTCTCATAGGTCACATAATCATTAAGGTCACAATCATTAATCTCTCTTTTAACTACTATGATAAAAGCAAAGTAAAAATATATTTAATATTAATGAAATAGTATTGCAAAAAGAGTCATTAGTATCGGAATATTTTTTAATATCTTGTTTATATCCCAAAGAATTCGAAAATTAATAAATAAATTATTATGTAATGATTATTATTATATATAATATATATACAAGTAACGAATTATGTACTTATTATATTCCGCTCTTTGCTTTTAGCAATGTTAATAATTATCTTAATAAACATTTTGGAGAATTTTTGAAGTTTTTCTCTCTTCGAATATTTTTGTTGTACATATCTATGGTTGAAGAAATATGATAATAATTATATATATGATTATTTTTATTAATATACATACAAATAGAGGATGTTATATATGAAATACTTAATTTGCAAATGAAGAGTACTATATTATCCGTGTAAAAACAAACTATATAACTGATACAAAGTTATATATATAATTCAAATAATTTCTATAGATTTCATATAAAATTTGAGTAGAACAAATTTAATACGTGTATATCATAACATTATGTAAATAATTATTAGTTAATGACATTAATAACTTTAATTTTATTATGTTCTTAGCGTTCCGAGACCATGTTTTTTGATGTTCATATAATTTTTATTTTATCGAGAGAATCAATATTATTTAAAACAAAAACAATAGGATTATGAAATACATGTATATGTATATGTTAAAGTACACATTTTTTTAAAATTAAATGTATATATACATACACATTTATGATAATTGAGAAAAATAATTGACTTGACACGATTGTTACGCATCGACTGATTTTTTAGAATTATATAGATATTTATATTGACGTTAAGGAAAAAATATTTCATATATAATTATATAAAAAATTTATTTATTTTATATATAATGATATATAATTATATACAAAACATGTCCATATATAACATTTTTTCGCGGGCGGAATTAAGTGAGCATTCATGTTACATGTTTATTATATTCAAACAGTTATCTTTTGATCTAATTTTATTTTCCAATTTAATTACAAAAATGCGTTTCTAACAAATTTTCTGCTAGGATACCATTTTTAATATTTTTATATATAATTTAAATATACGTGATTTTTTTATCATATTATTAAATTATATATATATCAATATATTCATTAGATCTCATGTGTAAAATACAATGTTTAACACGTTCACGTCAACATTTCACACGTTATCATAAAACATGTTATGCAATAATTATTTGTTGGATTATTTATTGGATGAAATTTAAATCAGGCATTTTTTAATGTTCCTTAAAAAAATCATTTTTTATATATAGTGATTTTTTAAAGAAATTTTTTGGAAACTCTTCTTTCTATTTAATCTTTTGCGGTTGTTACAATCTTTTTTAAGAGAAAAAAAGCTACCAGGTATAGAGACTCGAAGACCTTGCGGCTTTAACACCTCGAAAATCGGATTCGGTAGCACATAGAGAAGCACTGGTTTCACAAGTATGCATGTTAGTACGAAAATCAGTTGAACTATCGCACGATCCACTCTGCGAGAGAGCATGTTCGCGATTATCAATTCTTAATGTTGTACACACGATATTTATCAAGTATCGTGCTAAAAGAAAAGATTAATACATGCATGCGTCGCGTTTTCATGATTCACTACTGTTTCTTCCACTACTTTCTTTGCTCCTTCCTTTACGTTTTTCCTTATTCATCATGCAGATTGCGTCTTGTATAGTTTTGGAATTCCCTCGTTGAATACAGCTATTATTGATGACGAATCATCCAAAAACCTATAAAAACAATTATGTAATCTCGAGTTATTGTCCAGACTTTCAGAGGTTGATAATGATACTCGCAATTGAAAGAAAGATAATGCAACTAACTGTAACATAATAACACACGCAACAACATAAATATTATACGCAATGTGTACGTAATAGCTACATTACATTAATTGTACTGTAAAATTATAACACTGTTATCAAATTACTATTAATTGATGTTTACCAGGATTTGAAAACAATTGTATTTTATAAATAATTTTTTAAATATTATAATAAATTTTTTAAATATTATAAAGTTTAAATATTATAATTATAATATAAATTATATATAACAATTGTGTAAGTGACATATAAAAAGTTGTAATTTTTTCATGACCATGATGAAAAAATTTTTTAATAATTTTTA